TTTCCAATAGTTTAAAAGTATCATTTTTGTTATTTGCATTCTAGTTTTAGTTAACTTCAAAACCAACCAAACATTCGATTGCACTTAGATTAAGTTAGTACTTGCATTCTCGGTGCTTTTTAATCCCTCAGAACTGGTTCGACAATTTACTTCACTATACAACATTTGCTTTAGGAGCCTCAAAAACTCCTAACATCAACACTGTGCTCAGCTGAACTTGTGCTACGGATTCAGTGATTTAGCATCAGGACTCAGTGGAGAAGATAGACGGAGATTCGAATCACAGCACAACAATGACGACCGTTGTTCCCACTTCCGAAGAAGATATCTGAATCCCCCATACAGTCGTCAAACCCTAGATCGCTCACTCACTCACTCTCACAATGGCGGCGAATCTGCCGATGGATATCGTCGCCGATGTCTTCCTCCGTCTCCCCGCTACTACCCTGGTCCGATGTCGCCTCCTCTCGAAGCCTTGCTTCGCTCTTATCAACAGTCCAGACTTCGTCGCGTCGCATCTCAAACGCGTTCTCGAAACCGAAGAGCACCTCATGATCCTCCTCCGATCTCATCGCCTTCTACGTAGATTGCACCTCGACGGACCGGATAAACTCTCAGACGTCGACCATCCGTTACTAACCGACGGTTTCACGAACGTTTTCGGTTCGGTTAACGGTTTAATCGGTTTAACTAACTCTCCCGTTAATTTAGCGATTTTTAATCCCTCAACGCGGACAATCCACACCTTACCGGTTGAGCCTATCGATTTCCCGGAACGTTCCATCACACGCGAGAATGTTATTTTCGGATTAGGTTACGATTCGGTGAGCGATGATTACAAAGTTGTTAGGATGATTAAGTCTAAGCACGAAGGCTATTCTTTCGAACTGAAAGGTTATCTTGTCGAAATCAAAGTATTCAGCTTAAAGAGTAATAAGTGGAAGAGAATCCATCTTCGTTTTGAGCTTCAGGTTCTTTTCATGATGTACTATTGCCATGTGTTGTATCGTCGTGGGAATGGTGTTGTTGCTTGCAATAGTCTTCACTGGGTTTTGCATCGAAACCCTCTCGCCTTGGGAAAGATAATCAGATTTGATCTTGCCTCTGATGATATTAGTGTCCTCAGTTACCCACTGGAGCTTTGCTTTCAAGTTATGGGTTTAGGTGTGTTAGACGGTTGCCTTTGTTTGATTTGTCACGACAGCCACAACGTCAGGAATGGGCATGTGGATGTTTGGATTTTGAGGGAGTATGGAGGAGAGTGGAGTAAGTTCATTACTCTGCCGATACCAGAGACTGTGGTTTCGTTTAAGTTTGTGAGACCTCTGATATATTCCAAGGACAGGAGGAAGATTTTGCTTGAGATAAACAATGGGAAGCTCTTTTGGTTTGATTTGGAGAGTAAGAGTTTTGAAAAGCTTGTGATAAAGGGTTGTAAGGGTCCACGTAACGCGGAGATCCTCGTGAGTAGCCTTGTTTTGGGATGTAAAGGTGTTTCTGGCAGAGCTCCAGAAAAAAGTAACAAAAGTTGGTATGCTCATCTTTGTAGCCTTGTTTTGGGGAGTAGAGGTGATCCTCGAGAAAAGGAAATAATGCTCAAGGGTTACAAAAGGTGGTATGCTCATCTTCTTTAAAGTGCTTTCTTGTTTTGATTCCCTGATATTGTACTTAGATACGGATGTGACAATAAGTCAAAACTGAGTATTGGGTGTCTTCTTTCTTGGAGGTTTTAGGATTGCAAATGGTAAAATGTATCAACTTGATTAACCATCTTATGTTACAATCTCAGGGGAGGTGGTTTTCTGTCCAAGGGATTCAAGCTCAAGTATGACAAAAGCATGGGAACTTTGAATCCCAAACCTTCGTCAAGGTAAGTGTAATAATCTAATGCTTATGAGTGTTTCCCTCAAGTTGGTATCCTTCTTTCACATTTCGATGTGAGATGAGATTTCCATTCTTCACCTGGTTACATTATTGTTATCTTTTTTATCTATAATTATGTTAATTGTTGAAAATAAACATTAATCGTAGTAACTGCATATCTTATTTTTAACAAGCTTACATTGACACTCAAAATTATAAAATAATTTGGGCCAAATCACTGCCACCGTTATTTTCACCGTCATGGCCCTTACGGCAAAAAAAGTCATCGTCTTTTTGACTGGAGTCTTAGTCTTAGCAAGTGGAACTTGAGTCATCATCATTGGATAAAGTTGGGAGAAAACTTAGAATTTCAAGTGTTTTTGAGTTTGTTCGGTGTGTGTAGGTGCAGATCTTGACTTTGGGTTTGATTTTCAGGTACGCAGGGCGTAAGGTGGAAAGGAAATGGCTTTAAGCAGCTTCATCAAATTCTAATCCCAAAATTAAGTCTAAGACTCTAAGTACTAATTAGCTTAACCTATGTAATACAGTGTGCTTAGGTAGCCGTAGCTTCGTTTAAGTATAGCATGTTGCAGTATAACTCAGTAGTTAGTTGCATATATCAAATCTATAAATCTAGTAAAATTATATCTGGCTTCATGCAAATAGTTACTGGAGAATATTTATTAGACATCACAATGATAAAACAAAACACATAAGAATCTTGTTACCAGCCGGGAAACAAAATCATGTGAACAAGGTTTTGAGTACTGTTGTCATCTCTACTCCCATTAATTTCCACAACCGGATTGTGCAAATTAAATTTGGATCAGCTTTTCTTCTCTGCGTTAACCTCTTAGACCATCTCTAACCCTAGATTAGCTTACTTATTGGGCCGAGCCTACAAGCCCATGAAGGGAAAAAGTAATCAATTTACACGCACCTTCTCCGAAACAAATATCTAAATCTCTAGATTCCGAAACCCATCCTCACTCAACACTCTCACTAAGACTAGCTTCCGAAAGAAAAAAACAATGGCGAGTTTTCCGATGGATATCGTCACCGACGTACTCCACCGTCTCCCCGCCACTACCCTAGTCCGATGTCTTCTCCTCTCGAAGCCTTGCTTCTCTCTTATCAACAGTCCCGACTTCATCGCCTCGCATCTCAAACGCACGCTCGAAACCGAAGACCACATCATGATCCTCCTCCTAACAATCCTCCGTCTACGTACCGTGCACCTCGACGCACCGGATAAAAGTCTCCCTCATCGAGAATCCTCTCCTAACCGGCGGTTTCACTCAATTTTTCGGTTCGGTTAACGGTATAATCGGTTTAACAAACCCCCCTACCGATTTCGCGCTTTTCAATCCATCAACTCGCAAAATCCACCCCTTACCTGTTGCGCCTATCGACTTCCCTGAACGTTCCCTCACTCGTCGTCAGTATGTTTTTTACGGATTAGGTCACGATTCCGTCACCGATGATTACAAAGTCGTTAGGATGATTCAATCTAAAGATAGAGGAGGTGATGATGAGAGCGTTGGTTATCCTTTCGAAGTCAAAGTTTTCAGCTTAAAGAGTAACAAATGGAAGAGAGTCCAACTTCTTTCCGAAGACGTTGAGATTCTTTTCGACAGCTTCTTTTTCCGTTTGCTGTATCGCCGCGGGAACGGTGTTCTCGTTAGCAACAGTCTTCACTGGATTTTGATTCATAACGAAGGAGATTTCGGGATGAACACGATAATCAGATATGATCTCGCTACCGATGAACTTGGACTCGTCAGTTTCTCGCATGATGTTTACTGTAAAGGGATGGATATTGGTGTGTTGGGTGGGTGTCTTTGTATGATGTGTTATAACGAGGTTAGGCATGCGGATGTTTGGATTATGAGGGAGTATGGAGGAGAGTGGAGTAAGTTTTTGTCTGTGCCGCAGCCGGAGAGTGTTGTTTCGTTTGAGTTTGTGAGGCCTTTGGTTTATTCTAAGGACAGGAGGAAGATTTTGTTTGAGATAAACAATGGGAAGTTGTTTTGGTTTGATTTGGGGAGTAAGAGTTTTGAGACGCTTGTGATAAAGGGTTGTGAGGATCTTCAGTGTAACGCTGAGATTGTTGTGAGTAGCCTTGTTTTGGGGTGTAAAGGTGATCTTGGCAGAGCTCGAGAAAAGAAAATGATGCAGAAGGGTAATAAAAGGTGGGGTGCTCATCTTTATAATGTGCTTTCTTACTTGTTTTTATTCCTTGATTCAGATATTTAGATAAGGAGAAAAGAGTCTTGTGTGTATCTTCATTCTTTGAGATTTTACGATGGCATATGGTAAGATGTATTAACTTGCTGAAGCATCTTGTGTTACAATCTCAGGAGGGATGACTTTCTGTCCAAGGGATTCAAGCTGAAGCTATGAGCAAAGCAGGGGAACTTCAAAGCCCAAACCTTTATGAAGGTAACTGTAAACAATCTAATGGTCGTTAGTGTTTCCTTCAAGTTAGTTTTCTTCTTTCTCATTGTCTGAGATTTCCATTCTTAACCTAGATACATTTCTGGAAATCTTAGTAAGTGGAACTTGAGTCAACATCGTTAACGTTCACGATTTCACAATATATGAAAAATTCTTTAGAGTTTGAACCGTGTAGGTGCATTCACAATATATGAAAAATCTTATTGTTTCAAGTGTTTTGGAGTTTGAACCGTGTAGAGTCTTGACTCTTTGTTTGTTTTTCAGGCGCAGGCCGTAAGTGGAAAGGAAATGGCGTGAAGCAGTTTCATCAACTTCTAATCCCATATTAGGTCTTAAAACTAATTAGCTTAACCTATGTAGTACGTATATTTTGTAAGAGAAGACAGTGTGCTTAGGTAACTTCTTTTGAGTATGGCATGTCGCAGTACGCAATTTGGTTTCTACTATATATGCCAAACGGGGATTTTTTACGTCGTTGTAAGTTGCGTATTTTAAATGTTAGATTAGAAAGAAAATTGCAGGATGATTCAAGGACGTGAAAAATTAATTATGACGAAAATGGTATTATTAATAACATTTAGACTAGGTTTTAGAAAGACAGTAATGTATTTGTGTCAGAAGTTGTCCACCACTTTTTTTTTATTATCTTCAACTCCAAGTAACCTTTTTACTTCTCATCTTTGGATCATTGGGGCTTCCGTTTCTTACAAAAGAATGAAGACAGTTGAGCTGTTTTGTTCCGACAAAAGTTACTCAGAAGCTGGATACATACATGGAATTCCAAAATGCAAATTCAGGATTTCTGCAAACCTGTACTAGTGTGAACTCATCAGTTTTACATATCAGATTGTTGAGGAAGTCTGTGTAGCAAAATCAGATTGTTGTCACTAATGTTCCACATTGCAATCGCTGAATGGAGCGTGAATTTGGACAAAAGCAATTGCAATCTCTTAGAACAAAGCTTGCAGCTTGGCGGGTGAAAAATACTAAAGATTAGACTGTTTTAGAATACTCCTACAAAGAGAATGCTTGATGATAATAACATGTTTTTGACTTATAGGCTTCAATTGGTAACCACAATTTATGAAAATAATGATGATGAAATTGTTGTTCCTCAAAATTGGTATCAGTTAAGTTGAATTTTCTGTCAGATTATAAAGTCATGAGTCCCACTTTATTCTTCTCATTTCCTCATGAATGAAAAAAATTACAAAGAAAAAATTCCTTCTCTATTTTCTATGAGGAATGGAATGAACATAACTTCATATATTTCTGACTTTTTCATTTCATCGATTGAATATTTGTTCATTATATTTTTCATTTTTCTTTTCAATTTAATGGTCACCAATTGAAGCCATAAAGTTTGTGGAATTACCGTAGTAGTTTCTACACCACCAGAAGAGTTTTAATTCTCGGAGAAAGTGAATGGCGAATTATGCAGATTGGAGAAAAAAACTTACAAGAGATCTTCAGCATGGCGCAAGGCGTACCGTCGGAAATGAATTTCATATCGTCTATGTAATATTTCTCATTGTTTGTAATGCAAAAAACTTGTTAAAAATACAATTTTTCTTGGGACGAGCCCACGAGGCCAAAATAGTAAAAAGTTTCACAATTACACAAATGTCCCTCTTCGAATCAAAATATCTTAGTCCCTCCCTATGTTGTTAAACCCTAGAGCTGCTCACCCACACTGAGATTGAGATAGCGTCCCACAGAAGACAATGGCGACTCTGCCGATGGATATCATCAACGACGTCTTCCTCCGTCTCCCCGCTACTACGCTGGTCCGGTGCCGCGCCCTCTCGAAGCCTTGCTTCTCTCTGATCGACAGTCCTGACTTCGCCACGTCTCATCTCAAACGCACGCTCGAAACCGAACAGCACCTCATGATCTTGCTGCAATCCGATCGCCTTCTACGTACCGTACGCGTCGACTCACCGGATAAACTCTCCGACGTTGAGAGTCCTTTACCAACCGGTGGTTTCACGGAGGTTTTCGGTTCGGTTAACGGTTTGATCGGTCTAACCAACTCCCCCGTCGATTTATCGATTTTCAATCCATCCACTCGCAAAATCCACCGCTTACCGATCGAGCCAATCGATTTCCCTCAACATTCCATCACTCGCGAGTATGTGTTTTACGGATTAGGTCACGATTCGGCGAGTGATGATTACAAAGTCGTGAGGATGGTTCAGTGTAAGCGTAAAGATGGCGATGGAGGTTATCCTTTCGAAATCAAAGTTTTCAGCTTAAAGAGTAATAGATGGAAGAGAATCCATCTTCGTTCGGAGGTTCAGATTCTCGTCACCAACTCCTATTACAATCTAACGTACCGTAGTGGGAATGGTGTTCTTGCTGGCAACAGTTTCCACTGGATTCTACCTCGAAGTGAAGGATATATCGAATCCAACACTATAATCAGATTTGATCTCGCCTCTGAGGCTCTTGGTGTCCTTAGCTTCCCGGAGGTCCTTTACTATGAAGATTATATGGATATAGCTGTGTTGGATGGCTGCCTTTGCTTGATGTGTTACGGCGATTTTAGCCGTGTGGATGTTTGGATTCTGAGGGAGTATGGAGGAAAATGGAGTAAGTTCATTACGGTGGTGCCGACATCGGAGACTGTGGTGTCGCTTGAGTTTGTAAGGCCTATGATCTACTCCAAGGACAGGAGGAAGATTTTGTTTGAGATAAACAATGGGAAGCTCTTTTGGTTTGATTTGGCGAGTAAGAGTTTTGAAGCGCTTGGAGTAAAGGGTTATGATGAGGGTCGTCCATGGAATGTAGAAATTGTTGTGAGTAGCCTTGTTTTGGGATGTAAAGGTGATCCTCGCAGAGCTCCAGAAAAGAGAATGATGCAGAAGGGTAACAAAAGGTGGTGTTCTCATCTTTATCTTCATTCTTTGAGATTTTAGGATTGCAAATGGTAAACTTTAGGTGCTTATACATCTTATTTAACACTATCAGGAGCGATGATTTTCTGTCCAAGGGATTTAAGCTCAAGTTGTGAGCAAAGCAAGTGAACTTCAAAGCCCAAAACTTTATAAAGGTAAATTGTAATGAATCTAATGGTCGTGAGTGTTTCTATTCTTCTTTCTCTTTGTGTAAGATTTTCCCATTCTTAACCTGGGTACATTATTGGAAATCTTAGCAAGTGGAGCTTGAGTCAATATATGGAAAAATCTTACTATTTCTAGTGTTTTGTGAGTTTGAACAGTGTAGGTGTATTCACAATATATGGAACAATCTTACTATTTCACATGTTTTGGAGTTTGAACCGTGTAGCTGCAAATCTTGACTTTTTGTTTGATTTTCAGGTTCAGGGCGTAGGCGGGATAGGGAATGGTTTGAAGCTGCTTCATCAAAATCCTAATCCCATATTAGTTCTTAATACTAATTAGCTTTAACTATGTAGTACATATATTTTGTAAGAGAAGACTTACATTCTCATCTAAAATAGCCAAACGGGGATTTTCAGTTCATTGTGCTTAGTTGCATATATTAAATCTATGATCAGAATGTAAAATTGCAAGATGATTCAAGGACGACAAAAATTATTTTATGAATCAGATTGTTGTGTGGAGCGTGAATTTGAACATAATCAATGGCACTCTCTTCGAACAAAGCTTGCAGCTTGGCGGGTAACTGAATATTTTTTCTGATTTTTATTGGGCCGCGCCTGCCAGGCCCATGAATAATAAATTACACAAAATTCCCTCTCCGAATCAAAATATCTTAGTCCCATGTGAAACCCTAGATTTGCTCACTCACACTACTACTGAAAGTAGCTTCTAAGAGAAAACAATGGCGACTATGCCGATGGATATCGTCACCGATGTAATCCTCCGTCTCCCCGCTACTACGCTCCTCCGATGCCGCGTCCTCTCGAAGCCGTGCTACTCTCTCATCGACAGTCCCGATTTCGTCGCGTCGCATCTCAAACGCAGGCTAGAAACCGAAGAGCACGTCATGATCCTTCTGCGAACCCCTCGCCTTCTACGTACGGTGTACCTCGACGCACCGGATAAAATCTCCGACGTGGAGCATCCGTTGCAAACCGGTGGTTTCACAGAGGTTTTCGGTTCAGTTAACGGTTTAATCGGTTTAACGAACTCTCCTCTCGACTTAGCACTTTTCAATCCATCAACCAGGAAAATCCACCGCTTACCGATTGAGCCTGTTGATTTCTCCGAACGTTACATCACACGCGAGAATGTGTTTTACGGATTAGGTTACGATTCCGTTAGCGGTGATTACAAAGTTGTGAGGATGATTCAGTCCAAGTACAAAGGCGATGGAGTCAACGAAAGCTTTGGTTATCCTCTGGAGATCAAAATGTTCAGCTTAAAGAGTAATAAATGGAAGAGAATCTATCTCCTCTTTGAGGTTCAGATTCTCTTCATTTACTTTTATTACCATCTGCTGTACCGTCGTGGGAATGGTGTTCTTGTTAGCAATAGTCTTCACTGGATTTTGCCTCGAACTGGTGGACATACTGCATTCAACACGATTATCAGATTTGATCTCGCCACTGACGATCTTGGAGTCCTTAGCTTCCCAAGTGATCTTTACTGTGAAGATGATATGGATATTGGTGTGTTGGATGGCTGCCTTTGCTTGATGTGTTACAGCGAGTCTAGCGTGGATGTTTGGATTTTGAGGGAGTATGAAGGGAAGTGGAGAAAGTTCATTACGGTGCCGAAACCTGAGACTGTGGTTGCGTTTGAGTTTGTGAGGCCTATGATCTATTCTAAGGACAGGAGCAAGATTTTGCTGGAGATAAACAATGGGAAGTTGATGTGGTTTGATTTGGAGAGTAAGAGTTTTGAGACGCTTGTGATAAAGGGTTGTGAGGATCTTCAATGTAACGCTGAGATTGTTGTGAGTAGCCTTGTTTTGGGATGTAAGGGTGATCCTCGCAGAGCTCCAGAAAAGAAAATGATGCAGAAGGGTAACAAAAGGTTGTATGCTCATCTTTATAGTGTGCTTTTTCTTACATGTTTTGATTCTCTGATCAGATTTTTAGATATGGATAAGACAGTAAGGCAAATCTTGAGTCTTGTGTATCTTCATTCTTTGAGATTTTAGGATTGCAAAATAGGAAATTGCTTAAACATCTTATGTTACATCTCAGGAGGGATGATTTTCTGTCCAAGGAATTCAAGCTGAAGCTATGAGCAAACCAGGTTCAAAGCCCAAAAAACTATATAAAGGTAAATGTAAAGAATCTAATGGTTATGAGTGTTCCCCTTAAGTTTGTATTCATATTTCTCTTTGTGTGAGCTTTCGATTCTTGACGTAAGTACATTATTGGAAATCTTAGCAAGTGGAACTTGAGTCAACATCGTTAGGGTATACGAAAAATTATCACTATTTCAAGTGTTTTGGATTTTGAACCGTGTAGGTGCAAAAAGTGACTCTTGGTTTGATTTTCAGGTTCAGGTTGTAGGTGGGAGAAGAAATCGCTTTAAGCATCTTCATCGAAGTCGTATCCCTATATTAGCTCGTAGTACTAATTAGCTTAACTATGTAGTACGTATATTTGTAGAGAAGAAGACTGTGTGCTTAGGTATAACTTCTTTTGAGTATGGCATGTTGCAATATAACGTTGTAGTTGGTTGAATATCTAAAACCTAAGTATCTAGTAAAATTAAATCTGACTGCAAATAGGTAATGAAGAATATTTAATTAGATACTAAATTATAATGAGGAGAATCGTCGATAAACAAAACACATAAGAAACTAGCTACAGAGTAGTGCAGGACAAAATTGCGATTGTGTTGAAACATAAATGAATTTCTTTTTTTCTTACGAGTTTTATTGGGCCCACCCTGCGAGGCCCAAGAAGAGAGAATTACACGAGTGTCCTTTGAAACAAATATCTTTTTTTTTTTGTCGACATTGATATTAAAAGCCCAATGGCTAAACATTACACGAAGAGAGCCCAATACTTCAATTTGTCCAATCCATTTTCCCACAATAAGCTAAAAATACAAATGTCTAGTACGTGTAGGAAAAATAAGAACTTAGTAGACACGTGGCTTTCATACGATGATCTTGGACACCTCACCGAACACCTCATCAACTGATGCTTTTCACGCCGGTGGTGAGATCTCTCCGGTGAAAGGCTTCCGCCGTCGACGATATCTTCTTCCGTGAAGTTGGAAATTCCATCAGCTTCGTGTAACACAACAGATGCTCCTCTTTTCAACCGAAGATAACGAGAATCAAATCAGAGATTACTGGGTGATGTCTTGCATTATTACATTGTTTTATCTCTTCATTTGCATTCCTTTTCATCATGTAGAATAGGTTTTAGCCATGTTTAGGTTGCATTTTGCATACATGAGTCCCTTTTAGGTATTGGAGCATCACATGGAGCTTTTGGAAGCATTTGGGATTCATCAGGGGCTCAAGGGAGGCAAAGGGAGTGACCTAAGTCCGGA